TAGATCTAACCCAGTTCCTTCTTTTTGTGTTAGTTTTGGTTTATATGTTTGGCTCTTTGAGCTGTTCTAGTCTTTTAGATGAGTAAAGGATTGGGTTGGAATAAGTAGGGCCTCCTTTGACATCTTTGTCTCTAAAAACCTACATTCATTTTAATTGTATTTGCCGTACTTGAATTCAACCAGATTTAGCATTTTCAATTTTCCCACCTATGTTCCTTAAAAACAGGTAGGTAATTGAAATCCATCTGTGTTTTGTCCATCTAACCACCCATATTAGTGGTGGTACTGCTAAGTCATGTTCTAAGAAATAAGCATCCTTTTAACATATATTCTTTTAATATTAATCTTTTAATTAAAATCTAGTTTTTTCTTAAATGCCAAATAATATAGAGTCTCCTTTATTAAGTGGTTTATTAATAAACTTAATTCTTAGTTTGATCTTTAGTGGGGACTAGTTCTGTTGGAAAGGCAGTATAGGCAGTGGGGGTTGTATGTACAATTCTGGATTTCTGGAGCTTTTTTTAATGGCCATTTGTGATAGGACTTATTATTAAGGTGTTAAACATTTATCAGACAAGACTTAATTCAGTCTTCTTTATTGCATTTTCTTTTTTGGGGGTTTGGGAAGCAAATGGGGATAAGTGACTCGCCCAGGGTCACACAGCTAGTAGGTATCTGAGGTCAGATTTGAATTCAGGTTCTCCTGACTGCAGCTGGGCCAGTGCTATGTCCACTGTGCCACCTAGATGCCCCACTTGATTGCATCTTTTTTGGGGGGGAGGGGCAATTGGGGTTAAGTGACTTGCCCAGGGTCACACAGCTAGTAAGTGTCAAGTGTTTGGTCTGAGGCCGCATTTGAACTGGGGTCGTCCTGACTTCAGGGCCAGTGTTCTATCCACTGCGCCACCTAGCTGCCCCTTGATTGCATTTTCTATTCAGTACTGTATTGCGTCTCTACTCAATTAGCTATTTAAAATACTTAATAATCTACCTTTTGAGTTGATAAAGTAAAGGGAAGGTAAGTAGGCATATGCCAGAATGAATGACAAGACAGTTATTAAAAGCTTTACCATGCTGGATGCTGGGAAAACAAACTGAAAAGTTAGTATTTTCTCGAGGAGCTCACATTTCTTTTTTTGTTTGTTTTTTGCTTTTTGGTGAGGCAATTGGGGTTAAGTGACTTGCTTAGGGTCACACAGCTAATAAGTGTCAAGTGTCTCAGGTCGGATTTGAACTCAGGTCCTCCTGACTCCAAGGTCAGAGCTCTATCCACCAAGCCACCTAGCTGCCCCAAAGTTCACATTTCTAATGGGGAAAACAAGATATTGGAGGTTTTAGCTACAAGTCAGATGGAAAGGTTCCATGGTCCATAGAATACAGCAGCAAAATAGATAATGTTGCATCTTCTTTAATTTCCACTGATAAATAATCAATTACTGTTACTGAATCATTTGACAGTGCCAAGGCCTGGGGTGGTAAGAACTTTTCTTTTCTGAGTCTAAGATAGCTGTGACTGCGGAACCTTCAGAAATAATCTCCAGGCCTAATCTTCATTGGAGTTGCTTCCCAAGATGATGGCTGTGGCTCCCTTCCACAGCATATCCCCACCTAGAAGTAAGACTGGTGGTCTTGAGGTCTTGTGTCTGTTCCCAAGGCACTTGAGTTCTAGGTCCTGAACTGTTGCCATCAGGTTAGGTAAGATGAAACAGCTGCCCTAATGGTGACTTGAAATTTTCTGGATATTAGTACCTGATTCTTCTTAATTCTAAATCTCTGCTGAGTATTTACACTTTATCCTGTATATATCTTGTTTGTACGTGGTTGTTTGCGTGTTGTCTCCCGTATTTGACTTTTAGTCCCTCAAGAGCCGGGACTGTCTTTTAGCTTTCATTGTATCCCCAGCGTTTAGTGTGGTGCCTGACACACAATAGGTATTTACTTAATGCTAGTGGACTGTATAGTTTGCTGGCACGGTGCTTATTTCCTATTTTTAAATTTGAATAACAGCAAACTCGGGACCTGGAGGAGAAAATGCTTGAAGTTAAGAAGAAGAGATTAAGTATGTAAAATTCCTATAATTTACGTTGTTACTTTCTGTGAATTGAAATGAATGGATAGATTTTATTGGTATGGTTGGTTATTCCCTCCAGTGATACAGAGAGCAATCCCTCCTGGCCTGTCTATCCTATGGGGTTCTTTTTATGTCTTTTCCTAATTTTACCACAGGAAATCTGCTAACCTCCAGGAGACCTACCTTCCTCTCTTTATCTCTCTCTCTCTTTCTCTCTTTCTTTCTCTTTCTCTCTCTTTCTCTCCCTTTCCTTCCTCCCTCTCTCTCCCTCTCCCTCCCTCCCTCTCTCTCTCCCTCCCTCTCTCTCTCCCTCCCCCCTCCTCTTCCCCCTTTCCTCCTCCCCCTCTCTCCTTCCCCCTCTCCTTCTTTCTCTTTTACTTTCTCTCCCACTCAGAAACAATTTTCTTTACTTCAGTGCTACAAAATAAACACTTATTTCCACACCATTAATTCATGAGAACAAAATTGATTGCTATTTTCATATCTTTACAAATCATACCAAATTATAATCTGAAATGTCCAAATGCACAATCATTTAGCTATTTTGCATTACAATTTGTGCCTCTGTGTGCTAGTATCTCTGGCCGCCAGACATCCCTCGATTGATGATAAAATGTCAACATGTGGAAGAGGATACGAGTTCTTTTAATTTATTTCAATGAACAAAAATTTAATTTCTTTCCTTTTCACTTCCCCCTAACCTTGCACCCTTCTCAAAAAATAAAAATATAACCCTTGTAACCAGATATGCATAGACAAAACAAATTCTTGAATTAGTCATATCAAAAAAATAGATGACTTCAAATTGAACCCTTCACCTCCTGACAGAGAGGTAGGGAGTGTACTTCATCTTTGGTCCTTGGGAAACCAATGGGTGAAGACTCTAAATCTCATAACACATGTTAAAACTTACATTTCTAAAGCATTTTGGGCTAGGTTTACTAGTTGGGCAGCTGGGATAAGCCAAAGGATAGTTTCTTTTTTTCTGGATCAAATGAGATAACATTTGTAAAGCACTTAACACAGTGCCTGGCCCATAGTAGTGCTTAATAAATGCTTACTCCCTTCTCCTGTTGAAAGCCTTGTGCTGTCTCTATTTCTGCCCTTGAAAGTATCTGTGTTATTCAAAGAAAGAACTATGGAGTTTGAATACAGATTGAAGCATACTATTTGCTGTTTTTTTTCCTTCTGTTGTATTTTGTTTCCTCTTTTTGGTGGTTCCTTCTGTTGGTTCTAATTCTTACGTACAACATCACTAATGTGAAAATATGTTTAATAGGAATGTATATGCATAGCCTAGATCAGATTGTGCACCATCTTGGGGAGAGAGGGAGAGAAAAATTTAAAACTTAAAAGCTTATGGAAGTGATTGTTGATAAATCAGAATGAATTTAAAAAAAAGTAAAAGAAAGTATCTGTGTCCCTAGCATCATCCAGCTTGTCCCACTGGGTCAAAATTTTAAAAATAATCCTGAGTAGTACATCTGACAACTCCAAAAGCTGAAAGGAGGTGCTATAAGTTGAAAGGTTGGGCTCCAGATCGTAGAAGAGCTGAAGGTACCTCATGTTCTTTTGATGTTACGAGGATGCTAGTGGCCTGTGTAGCCTATCTGTGGGCTTTTCTTCTCACCATGTGACCAGCCCATGTTTGTTCATGTGTTTCTTTGATGGCATTCTTAACTCTAGACATTCATCATAGCTTGTATGTGATCTGTTGCACCATGTGTGCCTCTCCATTGTCCTCTGATTCTCATTTTCAGCACTTTATAAACTTGTTTTGTGACTCACATCTGAGTCTACAGCAATATTGGTAGAATTTTGTTATTACAAAAGAAGCCCTTTATTTGAGAAAGAAGAAAGGGTCATTGAATGATGCAGTATATCAAAGGCATTCAAGCCCATTTTCTTCTGTTTAAGTTTGGGCCCAACTCATTGTCCATTTCCAGTGTCTTTCCAAGACATAGATCTATCTATCTATCTTCCTTGATGGACAAAGTTCTGTATTATTACAGTAACTGATAAATAGCAGTCCTCACACCACATTCATCCATTTATTTAAAGGCTGGAGGTGGCTATTAAAAGTGAGAGATTAAATGGATTTTTAGCACCACATAGATTTGCAGACTAGCATTCTGGGAGTTGTAATAGTGGATGTTTCTATGTAAAAAAAGTTTTAAAGCAATGTGAACCTGGATACAAATCAGTTTTAGATGGTAAATTGCTAAGTGATCAATGAATGTTTTTTGCTATTGAAAAAGTCATTTATGGAGGTAGAGCCAAGATGGTTGAGTGAAAGCAGATACTGGCCTGAGCTCTCCCCCAAATCTCTTCAAATACCTCTAAAAAGTGACTCTGAGAAAGTCATTTATAGATAAAAAAACACCTCAAGAATGACTGCATTATTGCTGTTGAAAATTTCCTTTCTCTTGTCTAAAATGTTCCTTAGATTTCAATACTGTAAACATACCTTTTCATCCTTGTAGATTCTGATTGTTATATTTTATTGTTGTAATATTTTGTCTGGTATTTTAAATTTAACAGTGTTTAAAAAAGCTGGGGAAGCAAAGCTACTAGAAATACAGGCTGAGAATAAAAAGAAAAAAGATGAATTGAACATCCTGAAAAATAGTGCCTTGTTAACTAAAATGAAGAAAAGTCTACAAAAGGAGATAGATTCAACTACCATTATTCAAAATGTTTTTCAGGTAATGTATATGTGAATTTGGAGGGCAAAATTTGTGTCAGGGGAGGAACTTCAATATCTTAACCGATTGCTCTTGGGAGACAATGTGATTAGTACAGTAGAAGGCTCATGGTCCAGAGAAGGTGGGAACCTGAGTTCAAGTCCCGTCTTGGCCCGCGATTTGCTTTGTGACCTTGGGTTACTCACTTCACATCTTTGTCATATAGTTTCTTCGTTTGTTAAATAAGAAGGAAGGTCCCTAAAACCCCTTCAGCACTAAGATTCTTTGACTTTATATTAATTAAGCATTTAATAGAATCACAGGATTTCAGAACTAAGGGGCCTTAGCAATCAGTTCAAACCTACATCTAAAAATTAATACTTCTCCATTGTAGAAGACCTGACAAGTAGTCATCTGTTTTTTTTCTTGAAGCTCTCAAGCGAGAGGAAACTCGCTATCCACTGAGGCAGCCCATTCTACTTAATTTTTTAAAAATCTTATTTTCTTTGTCTCCTTTTTTTTTTCTTTTATCTTACACCATGGGTTCCTAACTGGAGTCCATGAACCCCAAAGAGGTTAGTGCATGGATTTCAGGAGAGTCTGTGCACTTGGATGGGTGGAAAATGACTTCTTTATTTTCACTCACTTATAATTGAAATTTAGCATTTCCTTCGATTGTGAATGTAGGCAACAAACCTTTCTGAGGAAAGGGGTTCATGGGCTTCCCCAGGCTGGCAAAAGGGTCCAGAGCAACAAAAAAAGGTTAAGAATTTTTTCTCTCCATATAAAGACCTTGTATACTTGAATCTGCCACTATTTTTTTGACAGCCAGATCATTTAAGTTACATGTTGTTTTATGTCACTTTTAGACTTCAGATAAAATGGAAAACTATCATAGGTTCATTGGATTTTCACTAAAGATAAGTTGCACAATGAAATTGCCTCAAAAGTCTGTAGCAGAGAATTATGCCTCTTCTTTTAAATAATAGGCATATTAATATGCTTATTATTTTTCTGCTCTTGGTTTACTATTGAAATAGAAAAATCTGAAGCTCAAAGTTTCTGAGTGTAGTGACTTATTTACAAGGCTAGCAGTTGCCAACAGTTCAGGTCTACTGACTTCTGTATAGTCAGAGACAAAGGAATGATTTACAGAGCTTTTTTTTTTTTTTTAATAACAGAAGAAAAGGAATTACACATTAGAGAAATCTTGAGAGACTTGTTTTGAAAATATTCTAATTGGACAAGGCAGGTCATTTGACCAGTGTTTCTTGGGGCTTTACAAATAGAACTAGCAGCTATTGCCAACATTTGACGTGTGGATTTGTCGGGGCCTAATGACGAGTTTCTAGGCTGTGAGAGGGTTATTGAATGTGACATTCTTTTGGATTGGGCCTGTGTCTGTTAACCTGTCTGTCAAACTGAGGTTGCCTTAGAAGTCTTGTCCTCCAGCTGTAGTATTTGCAATTAGAAGTGTTACTTTTAAGGGACATGTAGATTGACTAATATAATTTACTAAACAGCTACTAATATAGCTACTAAAAAGGAGACCTTCAGGGAGCTCCAGAAAAGGGGACTTTATCCACTAAGCCTCTAACAGGAATTTAATCTTTAGAAAGAATCTTATAATAGTTAATTTAATGATTGTTTTATTGCTACAAAGATATATGTGTACCCTAAATTATCAATAAATAATAATTACTAATAGAGGTTTTCATTTTATTAATCCCTTCATTACATAAACCTGTGTCAGCTCTGGTTGAATTAGATTTTTTATTTGTTATTGCCCATGAATGAATGAGGACTAAAGTTCATCAGTCAGGATTAAAATTATAAATAAGAAATAGGTTTTTATTTAATTTGGCAAATGTTGGGACTTCACAGTAGATATAAACTGACTCTGATTCGTAGTAATAGGTAGTATTTACATAGCACTTTAAGGTTTGCAAATCACTTTACTTATGTTCTCATTGATCCTCACAATTATTCTCACTTCACAAATGAGGAAACTGAGGTTCAGAGTTAAGTGACTTGTTTAGGGTCACATAGCTATTATCTGTGGTAGATTCAAACTTGGGTCTTCCCTACTCCAAGTTCAGTATTCTATTCATTGCTCTATCTATTTCTAAGTTTCTTAATGTTCTTTCTTACTGTTCCTCATTAATGTTTAAAAAACAAACATCCATCTAATTCCAAATAACTGTTTCCTTTACTGTAACTATTTTAAATCAGAAAATGCCCACTAATAGGAACAATTAGTCATTTGTAAACATCTAAACTTCCCACAACTATAAGGTTCATGACTTCATCCTCTGTAAATAAATTCAGGCCCCACAATCAAAATAAGCACAGAGAAAATATGCAGTATAATTTTGATGATAATAAAAAGCACTCTTATATTAAAATGTCAGCTTTAGTATTCCAAGGATATTCAACATACCTATTTTTATTTTCATTATAGCACATCGTTATGGCAGCAAAGATTGACTGGGCAGCGGATCCAGCCTTGAAGGCACTTATTTTACAGCTTGAGAAAAATTTAAGCTTCATTTGAACAATTCTGCTTGTTTACGTGCAATTAAATAGTAAATTTCCGGAGAAACTCTGTATTTTGGGCTCTATTCTGTTAATTCAGACTCTTTAAAACATTTGTTTCAGTAACACTAACTTCAGAGTCATTCTGTGTCATTTATTAAAATGACATTGTGTCACAGAATTTGGGATCTTTAAGTTAGAAGCATCCCTACAGATGAAGTCCAGCTTCTCACCTAATATGGGAACCTACTCTATAATATCTTCGACAGATGGTCATCTACTCATTGTATGAACCCTTCCAGTGACTAAGCATTCACTACCTCATTAGACAATCTACTCCATATCTAAATAGCCCTGAATGTTATTCCTTTATATAGCATTTATTGATTAGTATCCTAGAAAATAGTGGTTATATCTAACCCCTTTAAAAGCAGTGTATTTTCTAAAATACTGATCTTTTTATGGTATTAAAACCTTTAATAAAGTTACAAATTAAATTATCATTGTTATTTGAATTATTAATTGCATTAATATTTTAAAAATTAGTTTCAAAGGTGTATCTTATAAATAAATTAGCTAATTTATAAATTTAGTTCAGCCCCTTTTAATTTAGATAAAGGATCTTTTGGTTATTTTTAACTTCATTTTTTCCCCTTTGAGGGAAAAATTTCTCTTTAAATTAAAAGAGTTTATTTTTCATTTAATGAAAATATATTTTCTCCCCCTTCCATCCCCCATTGAAAAAGCCCTATAACAAATATGCATGATGAAACAAAATAAACTGCCACATTGGCCATATGCAAAAATATGTCTCCTTTTGCATCTTAATTTCATTGTTCTGTCAGGAGAGTAACAACAACAATAATAATAGCTAATATTTATGTAGTGCTTACTGTATGCCAGGTACTATCTACAAATATCTCATTTAATCCTCACAACAAGCCTGGGATATAGGTGCTGTTACCTCAATTTTACAGGTAAGAAAACTGAAGTTGATCAAGAAGTTTACATAGCTAGTGAGGGTCTGAAGCTGGATTTAGACTCAGTGCTCCATCCATTGGGCCACCTAGCTGCCCTATCATCATTGGGTCACCTGGAATCATGGTTGGTCATAGCATTGATCAAAATTCTTAAGTTTTTGAGGTGGGGCAGAGCCAAGATGGAGAAAAGGCAGGGACTTGCCTGAACTCTCTCAAATTCCCCTCTGAACAACTTTTGATAATTCGTCAAAACAAATCCTGGAGCAGCAGAACCCAGATGGGGTGAAACAATTTAAGATCTGGAACAACTGGGCCACCTTCTTTAGCATTTCTTTTCATTAGTTCCCTTGATATTCTAGACCTTTTGTTCTTCCAAATGAATCTTATTATTTTTTCTAGCTCTATAAAATAATTTTTTGGTAGTTTGGTTGGTATGGCACTGAATAAATAAATTAGCTTAGGTGATGGCAAGCAGGAGCAGTGCCAGGGCCACAGTGCAGACGACAGCACTTGCCAACAATTGCCTATCATCTGTCGTAAAGTAGCAAAGAAACCATCACCGTTCAATATAGTACTGGGAACATTAGCTTTAGCAATAAGAGAAGAAAAAAGAAATTGAAGGGATTAGAATAGGCAAAGAAGAAACAAAGCTATTACTCTTTGAGGATGATATGATGATATACCTAGAGAATCAAGTAAAAAACTACTTGAAATAAACAACTTTAGCAAAGTTGCAGGCTATAAAATAAACCCACATAAATCATCAGCATTTTTATGTATTGCCAACAAAGCCCAACAAGAGATAGAAAGAGAAATTCTATTTAAAGTTGCTGTAGACATTATAAAATATTTAGGAGTCTACTTACCAATACAAACCCAGGAACTGTGAACTATATGAACACAATAACAAAACATTTTCCATACAAAGTCAGATCTAAATAACTTTCTGGAAAAACCAATTCCTCATGGGTAGGCTGAGCTAATATAATAAAAATGACAATTCTACCTAAGCTAATTCATTCAAGACAGTCGTCAGTGACTATAGTAATCTACTATTTGTCAGATTTATGGAGAACAGAAGAATTTATAACCAAACAGGAGATGGAGAACATGCACACCTTGCTTTTGTTTTTAAGTATGTAATAAACTCAATATTCAACTTTCTTTTTTTATTTAATATTTTATTTTTAGTTTCCAATAACATGTGAAGACAATTTTCAACATTTATTTTTTGAAAGATTTTGAGTTTAAAATTTTTCTCCCTCCCTTCTTCCCTCCCCCCTCCCCAAAATGGCAAGCAATCTGATATAGATTATACCCATGCAATCATATAAAACATATTTCCACATTAGTCATCAACATCCAACTTTAAAAACCATCTTGCTTGTCTGTTCTTCTTTCTGGTCTTCCTTCTGTTCTCCCTGCATTTTAAATAAGGATGCTTGTGACTCTTTTCTTTCTTTTCTTTGTTATGCTATTCCTACCCTTTACCCTCCACACCTCTTGGAAAGGAAAAAAATAAAAAGCCCTTATAAAGAAAAAATTCCCAATTTGTGTCAAGAATATGGTGTCTTTTTTCTTTCACCTCTCTATCATCCAGAATTGTAGTTGATCATTATTTTGGTTAGCTTTTCAATTTTTTGAAAAAAAAATTTTATTAATGTCATATCAATTGTTAATTCTACTAACTTCACTTTGCATCAGTTCATACAGGTCTTCCCACATTTCTCGGAAACCATCTGCATCATTTCTTACAAGGAAGAGAACAAACATTTGAGAACAAACATTTATTAAGCATCTACTAAGTGCTGAGTGCTTTACAAATAAATATTGTCTCATTCATCTTCACAACAACCTGGGAGGTAAGTGCTATTATTATCTTCATTTTAAAGTGGAGGAAACTGAGGCTTAGGGAATTTGAGTGACTTGCCCAGGGTCACACAGCCAGTGAATGTCTGAAGCCAAATTTGAAGTGGGGTCTTCCTAACTTTATACCCAATGCTTACTCCACTGCATTACTTAGGTACACAATAGTATTCCATTACATTCCTGAACCATAATTTTTTTTAAACAATTATGTACTGATATAATAAGCAAATTTAGGGAGCATGGAACAGTTTACTTGTCAGTTCTATGGATAAAGGAAGAATTTGTGACCAAACAAGAGATAGAGTACATGTAAAATGGATAGAGGGATGTAAAACGGATAATTTTGATTTCATTAAATTAAAAAGGTTTTGCACAAATACAAAACCAATACAGCCAAGATTAGAAGGAAAGGAGAAAACGTCTTGCGGGGGAGATTTTTACAGCAAGTATCTCTTGATAAAGGCCTAATTTCTCAAATATATAGAGAAATGAGTCAAATTTATAAGAATAGAAGTCATTTCCCAATTGATAGTCAAAGGATATGAACAGGTAATTTTCAGAAAAAGAAATCAAAGCTATCCATAGTTATATGAAAAAATGCTCTAAATCACAATCGATTAGACAAATGAAAATTATAACAACTCTGAGGTACCACCTTACACCTATCAGATTGGTTAATGTGACAGAAAAGGCAAATGACATGTTGGAGATGTGGGAAAATTGGGACCCTAATGTACTGTTGGTAGAGTTGTGAACTGATCCAACCAATCTCGAGAGCAATTTGGAACTATGCCCAAAGGGCTATAAAACCTTGCATACCCTTTGAGCCAGCAATACCACTACTAGGTCTGTATCCCAAAGAGATTTTTCAAAAAAAGGAAAAGGACATGTATATCTATATCTATATCTATATATATCTATATATATACACACACACACACACACACACACATATACACATATATATGCATATATATATATAAAATATTTATAACAGCTCTTTTTGTTAGCAAAGAATTGGAAATTGAGGAGATGCCCATGAATTGGGGAATGGCCAAACAAGTTGTGGCATTGTCATGGCTTGTGATGGAATCCTATTGTGTTATAAGAAATAACAAGTATGATGATGCTTTTAGAAAAATCTGGAAAGACATAAACTGATGCAAAGTGAAGTGAGCAGAACCAGGAGAACATTGTACACAGTAACAGCAATATTATATGGTGATCAACTGTAAATGACAACTATTCTCAGTAATACAGTGATTCAAGCACAATTCCAAAGGACACATGAAGAAAAAATGTCATCCACCTTCAGAGAAAGAACTGATGGAGTCTGAATGCAAATCAAAATGTACTTTAAAAAAAAACTTTATTTTCCTTTTGTCTATTTTTGCAACATGGTTAATATGGAAATGTTTTGCATGACTGCACATATATAGTCTATATTGAATTGCTTGCCATCTCAGGGATATGGGAGAAAATTTGAAACTCAATATTTTAATTTTTGTATTTTTTTTTTTTAGTGAGGCAATTGGAGTTAAGTGACTTGCCCAAGGTCACACAGCTAGTACGTGTCAAATGTTTGGTCTGAGGCCGCATTTGAACTCAGGTCCTCCTGACTTCGGGGCCGGTGCTGTATCCACTGCATCACCTACCTGCCCCGAAACTCAATATTTTTAAAAACGAATGTTAAACTTTTTATTTGTAATTTGAAAAAATATAACTTTTTTATTAAAAACAATGTGCCATAATTTTAAGTTTTATTGATATTTTGTTTCTGTTAATAGTATTCATCATAGTATCCCATGTATCCTTCCTCCTTCCCTTCCCAAAAATACGATAAATAGTATTTTTAAAAGCGGAAAATAAAAATCAACTTTGTATCAAAATTTAAAGCTATTCTCAAATTTTTGAGGACCCCCTTAATTTCCAGTTCTTTGCCACTACAGCTTGCATATTTTTGTACATGTGAATCTTTTCCCTCAGAAAATGTATTTTGGAAGGGGCTGATCGTAATTCATGCACAAAGGGGACGCAAAGGGCGAAACAAACAAAGCTTAAAGCAGACTTCCCAAAGAACCGGCTGGAAGAACCGAGGGGACGAAGTCTCCTGGACCAAAGCCGCCGAGCGGGGGGCGGGGCTAAGCGGGACGGCCTCCGAGGTGGGCGGGGCGTAATCGCCACGCCCCTCGTGCTCAGTGACGCCACTGAAAACCTCGCCCGGCGCCGCCGAGCCCTAACAGTCCTTCGGTCTGCCCCGGAAACGGTACATCCCAGTGGGTCGCCATGGGCAGCAAGATGGCTGCGGCCACCCGTGTCGTGCAGGTAAAACAGTCGGGCTTGCCTTTCTTGGCCCCCAGGCGGGGCGGGACGGACTCCGGTCAATGGCCGCCGCCTCCGGGGAGGGAAAGGGGCTGGTAGCGGCGCCAGTACCGTCTCCTGAAAGGGTGAGGAAGCCGTGCCGGGGGGCATTTGGAAATGGACGTTGGACTCTGTGCCCGGTTGCCCTTGCGGCGGTACAGGGAGTGTGCGGGCGTGTGGCCCCTGTGGGGCCGTAGCGGGGGGCGAGGGGCTGATTGGTCTCGGGCTGATGGCGCGTCCCGACCCGACCCGGACTCCTCTTGCTCCCACCGTTCCCTCTGTGGCTCAGAACTTTACCCCGGTTGTAGGCAGGGAGAGGCGGGGCTCCGCTTTCCCAGTACTTGCGTGGCCAATCACGGTGCAGGTGGTGTTCCGTCACAGCCAATAGGGAGGAAGGAGGGGCGGGAAAGAAATGAGAGGCGGTCCGGGAGGACACTGTCTGTCAAGGACTCTGGTAATGCGACCTGGAGGGACCCCTACCTTCACGGCCGGCCTAGGACCCAATGTCATTCCAGAAACGTTAAGTACTTACTGTATGCCGGGCACTTGCTAAACTCAGAGGATACAAAGAAAGGCAAAAGATAGCCCCTGCTGTTGAGGAGCTCGAAGTTTGATGGTGGAAGCAACATGGCAAACAACCAAATGTGATCCCAGATGTGGAGCTAGATAACCTTACCTGAGGGAGAAGATGAACGGGAGACTGATTACTCAGACGTCACCAGCTGTGCTCGAGGCAGCCTGGATTTAGATAGACCCACGTGCACATTCCCAGCCTCCGTTACTTACTAACCACGTGGCCCTGGGCAAAGTCATATAACTTCCTACACCTTAGTTTCCTCCTGTGGAAAATGGAGAGTCCACCTCGTAGGGCAGGTGTGAGGATCAAATGAGATATTTGTAAAGTGCTTTGCAAAGTTTAAAGTGCTATTTAAATGCTAGTTATTATTATTGCTATGTACAGGACACTGAGTTTTTCAATTCATTATTGACTAATCTACCTGTTAAGAGCTTTGCTGTGTGCTAAAGAGCATCTGAAGTTGAAGTGAGCAGTTGAAATTCCTGACCTCAAGGCAGCTTACCTATAAGAGACTAAAAGTGCTAGGTTTAGGAGAACTGGCTTAGAATCCTTTTAAACCCCTTTTTTTTTTTTTTTCCTTTTTGGTGAGGCAGTTGGTGTTAAGTGACTTGCCCAGGGTCACACAGCTAGTAAGTGTCAAGTGTCTGAGGCTGGATTTGAACTCAGGTCCTTCTGACTCCAAGGCCAGAGCTCTATCCACTGAACCACCTAGCTGCCCTTATTAAACCCCTCTTTTATTAGAATATTGATTATGCATTTTGCCACTCAGTCTCATTTTCCTCTTTCATAAAATTGGGATAATACTTGGTTTATACTCCCATAGTGGTTGTGAGGAAAGTGGTTTGTAAGCCTTAAGTGGATGTGTATGCTATGGGTTTGTAACACTTATCTTTCTCTTGGTTTCTCTTCCTGTCTCTGGTTCCTTCTCATTCTCCTTTGCTGATCATTTTCAGTTCCTCCCCAACTGAAAGTGTCTAAAAGCTCTCTTTTTTATTCCTTCTTTTCCTTTCTTTACACTTTCTGGATGATCTCATTTCCTATAAGTTCAAATATGTTATCCTCTGCCCCACCTCGCTGCCCTATTCATTAGAGATAATAATTATCTCTTACAGATTTTTAGAGATAATAATTAGGGCAGCTAGGTGGTACAGTGGATATCATGCTGAACTTGGAGTTAGGAAGACTTGAATTCTAATGTTGCCTCGGACATTTATTAACTGTGTGAATCCAGTCAAGCCAGTTTCTTGATCTCTAAAATAGGAATAATAGCACCAAGCTCACAGGATCAAATGAGATAACATATGTAATGCACTTTTCAGATCCTAAAGCTATTTTTAAAGTTATCTATGTAGATGATTTTCTAATCTACATCCAATCCTAGTCTTCTGAGCTTCTGTATCAGATCCCTAACTTATACTTAGACATTGCCTATTGGATTTCCCATAGGCATTTCAGACTTGACATATCTAAAACATAATTTGTTATTTTTTCTCCTAAACCCACCCCCTCTTTTGATCTTCCCTGTTTATGAGCAGATGATACCATCATCCTTTCAGTCACTCAAATTCCCCATCTTAGAATCAGCCTGAATCCTTGTAACACTCCATTTCCAAGTCTCCTCAGTTTACCTCTACGACAGCTCTTGAATCTGCCACTTCAGTCCACTTGCACAGTCCCTGCTATATAGTTCATTTGGCTCTGCCCTCTCATCCAGATTATTAGCAACCAATTCCTAATTGGTCTCCCTGCCTCAAGTTTCTACTCTGTCTAATTCATCCTCCACACAGTTATCGAAGTTATTCCTAAAACACAAGTCTGACCGTGATACTCTCTGCTCAAAAACTCTACTTGCTTCCCATATTATTGCCTCATGAACAAAATAAAAACTTTTCTATTTGGCATTTAAAGCTCTTCACAATCTGGCCCCAGTCTGCCTTTCTAGACTTTTACATTATTGCTCTTCACATACACTATATTCTTGCCAAAAAGTACGCCCTAATTGCTGTTCCTAATACAGGATATTTGGCCTCCACTTTAATGACATTCACAGGCTGTCCCCCAGGCTTAGAATGCACTTCCTTCATTCTGCCTTTTAAAATCTCTGGCTCCCTTTAAAGTCTAGCTCGAGTGCCACCTTCTTTGGGCTACCTTTCCTAGTTCCTTGCTTTCCCCTTGAAACCACTTTGTATTTATTTTGTATATATTTTATTTTTATATTAATATATGTTGTTTCCCACAACAGAGTGGAAGCTTTTTTTTTTTTAAGTGAGGCAATGGGGTTAAGTGACTTGTGCAAGGTCACACAGCTAGTACATGTCAAGTGTTTGGTCTGAGGCTGGATTTGATCTCAGATCCTCCTGACTTCAGGGCCAGTGTTCTATCCACTGCGCCACCTAGCTGAGAGTGGAAGCTTCTTGAAAGCAGGGATTGTTATTATCTTTGTATTCCTAACACCTAATACTGTGCCTGGTTTATATCAGGCACTTAATAAATGCTGTGGATTCATTGATAATACTCAAATAGTTTATAATCTGCTGAGGGAGAACATGCATTAAGATTTAATACTGAGTAGACCATGAAAAGGGCATAAAGGAGGAAAAAAGTACTATGAACGTTTGGAGGAGAAGGGGGTATCTGGGAAGAGGTAAGTAGTATTTGAGCTGAGCCTTGAAAAATGATTAGAATTTCAACTGGCTAAGCTATATAGAAGGAAGGACGTTTGTGGAAGAAGGAATAGTGTACTCCCTGTGTTTTGGAGTTTCATTCAGTAACTAGTATTTTCTTCTACTTATCAGTTGCTACATTTTGTTAGCCATATTTTTCTGTTCTTCTTTCACCCATTGTTGTGCTCTTTGGCCTTTAATTTTGATATAAAATGTATTTCCCCTGTAGCAGATATATTTCAAAATAACTTCTGCAACATTTTTCTTGGACTTGCTCTCCAAAGTTTAATCTTAAAGGCTGATTCTTGGTTTGTACCGTTAATTAATCATTGATAGTAGTCCCTACTTCTAAGAGGTAAGGCATTTTCTGAATTTTTTAGGTGATGACACTGAGGCTTAATGAAATTTACAGCTTCACTCAAATAAAAATAGTTAAGCCATCCCACAATGACTGGATCTAGCACCAGATACAACTACTTTGGGGAAGCATATATTTCAACATTTCCCTGTAGAACCAAGATTGGTCATTGAGTTCAACTGCCTTTTGTTAAGTATTTTTCTTTATATGATTTCAGTCATTGTATAAACTTTTCCTGGTTCTTCTTGACTTTGTTCTGCGTCATTTCATACAAGTCTTTTGTTTCTCAGAATTTCATAGCTATTCTTTTTTGGGGTAATAACAATATCCCATTATGTTCATATGCCATAATTAGTTCAGTCATTCCCCAAACTGTGGATACCCATTTTGTTTCCAGTGTTTTTGATACCACCAAAAGCCCCACTATGAATATTTTGTTTATATCTAGCTATATTTATCTACATACATACATACATGTACACACATACATCCATACACATATGTGTATCTATATATCACCCTTCTTCTGTCTTTTACCTCCTTGGGGTATATGCTCAGCTGTGAGATCTCTGGCTCAAGGGATATAAACGGTATCATGACTTTTCTTTCATAATTTCTGTCAGTTTTCCAGTGTGGTTGGACCATTCATAGCCCCAAACCTGCTCATTTTTCCACAAGTGAAAAGAGAATTGTTGGAGCAAAGTGCTAAGAGGCTGAGATCAAGAGCACCAGTGGAGCTAATAAATGGAAGAGATAATCTTAGCAAAAAGGAGAGATTCTTCATCCTCAAAGATAAGAATGATTGAAGAAAGGATGGCAATGATAGAGAGAAATTTCAAGGTAGAAAGGAAGAAAATTAAGAAAACTTGTACTGTATGGCTTTAATTTCAGGAAAATTATTATAAAGTTCAACTGTTAAGTGTAACTGAAGAGGGAAAATTGGAAATTTCACAGAATAACAGAATGTCAGAGTTGCAGGGACCTCAGAGTGGCAGTATAACAGTGGAAAAGCTGTTGGACTTGAACTCAGTAAGATTTGAAATTGAATTCCTCTTCCCATGCTTTGCTAGCTTTAAGACCATAAGCAAGTCATGTAACTTCTCTAGACCTGTTTCTTCAACTACAAAATGGGTTTTAATAATAATGACTGTATTATTTTTCATATTTTTGTTGTGTGGCTCAAACAAACATTATCTAAATGTCAGCTCCTATCATTGTTAACTAATCCAAATATGTATGTGACCCCAAGGCTTTTATACAACATTGCTGACAAGTGGTCCTCTCACTTGCCCTTACTGCTGTGGCATCACTCACAAGAGAAAGAACAGAGTCAGAGGATGTGAGGAGAAATACTGTCTTTACTGTTTTTTGTTACTATTCAATTGTTTCAGTGTCCAATTCTTCATGACTCCATTTGTGGTTTTCTTCGCAGAGATGCTGGAGTGATTTGCCATTTCCTTCTTCAGTTCATTTTACAGATAAGGAAACTGAGGAAAACAGGGTTAAGTGACTTGTCCAGGGTCACATAGCTAGGAAGTATCTGAAGCCAGATTTGAACTCAGGAGGATGAGCCTGACTCCAGGCCTGGCACTGTATCCACTGCACCACCTAGCCTACCCCTTTACTATTTTACTACCTACTTATATGACTTTGCAATCACTTAATCTCCTTGGGCATCAGCTTTCTCATATGCAAAATGAGGAAGTTGAATTAGATAGCTCTTGATGAGGTTTCTTCTAGCTCTAAATCTATGATCTGGGATCCTATAATGATTAGGAAGCCATTTTTTTTTTTTAGCATCAAGCTGAAATTTGCTTCTGTGCAACTTTCATTTATTGCTCCTAATTCTCTTAACTGAGGTGAAGCATAACAAATCTAATCCCTCTTTCACACACTAGACCTTTAGATATTTGAAGACAGTTATCAAGGCTTTTTTTTTGTAAATAGCATTTTTTTTTCAATTACATGTAAAGATAGTTTTCAACATTCATTTTTCACAGGATTTTTGAGTTCCAAATTTTTTCTCCTTCCTTCCCTCCCATCTTCCCTCCCCAAGATGGTAAGCAATCTGATACAGGTTGTACATGTGCAATCATGTAAACATATTTCCACATTAGTTATGTTATGAAAGAAGAAACAGAACAAAAGGGAAAAGACACCAAAAAAAAGTTAAAATAGTATGCTTTGATCAGCATTCAGACTCCATAGTTCTTTCTCTGGATGTGGATATCATTTTCTGTCATGAGTCTTTTGGAATTTTCTCGGACCTTTGTAGTGCAGAGAAGAGCTAAGTCAATCATAGGGGATCATCCAGCAATGTTGCTATTACTGTATACAGTGTTCTCCTGGTTCTGCTCACTTTACTCAGCATCATCATGTAAGCCTTTCCAGGTTTTTCTGAAAACCCACCTTCTCATTATTTCTTATAACTTAATAGTATTCCATTACATTCATATACCACAACTTATTCAGCCATTTTCCAATTGATGGACATTCCCTCAATTTCCAGTTCTTGACCACCACAAAGAGAGCTGCTATAAATATTTTTGTACATGTAGGTCCTTTCCCCTTTATATCATGGCTTTTCTGGGCTAAATATAACCAATTCTTTTAACTAAGTCCCAAAGGGTATGATTATTCTCCTGGGATGTGTTACAACTTGTCAATGCCCTTCCTGAAATGTGTTCAAAACATTCCAGCTGTTGTCTCACCAGTAGGACAGGACTATCACCTCCTTCTCTATGGAAACTGTACCTGCTTTTATGTCACTTAAAATAGCATTCTATTGTGTTGAAGATTTTTTTTTTATGTTCTGAATTTAAAACATCAAATAAAGTGAGCATCTACATATACATAATAAAAAGAAGAGGATTGTGCATCTAACTGAATCTCTTTTATGTAGAGCAATTTTTTTTTAAGTATATAATAAATTTTTCATGCTCTTTGACCCATTTAACCCACTTGAGCTTATAGCTCAAGGATGTCAGTGATAGTTTCATACATGCCAAAATATTCATGAAGACATTTTTCGTAGTAGTAGAAAAACAAAGTAGGTACCCATTCTTTTTAGGTGATGGCTAAACAAACTGGTATGAATATAATGGAATGTTATAGTTCCATAAGAAATTATTAATACAAGAAACATGAAAAAACCTGTGTGAACTGATACATCAAGAAGAAAGAAAAAGCAGAACAGTATATATAATAATTATGATAATGTAATTGAAAATAGTACTAGAGGGCAAGATAATCATCTCAAATGCAATGACCAATAGTAGTTTTAGATAAGTGTAACACATTTAATTTCTTTTCAATAAATTATGAACTACAGATGAGGAATGCTACAAATTTGCTGATTTGGAGGTTTTTCTTGCAGAATGTCTGCTCTTATGTTTCTCTTTCATTACCTTTTGCAGGAGTGATTTTCTCAATCATTCTGAGGTCTGTATTTTCTCTCCTATGCTATCTCGTCTCTTAGCTCACATTTATTCTTACCAAGGCAGTGTTTTGTTACTTTGTTATTTACAATTCTGGCCCATCGGCAGCCACTTATTAGAAAGGCATAATAATGTTTAACGATGCCCAACACATCCAGAATGGCCACCAAAAGAACTTGCCAAACAACTTGCATGTTTTTTCTATGATCTTGGTGAAGTTCTTGTGGGTAAGTAGGTCGGAACAATATAGCTCCTTCTGGATACCCATTTTTGTTGCTACTGGGGAGAGTACTATGGTGAAGGGGATTAATAGATAATGATTTTAGTGTTTAAGAAAAACTTACTGCTAAAACATTTTTAAAAAAATAGAACTTTTTAAAATTAGAATTTTATTGCTGCTTACTCCTAAGACTTCATACCCTAAGTAATATTTTAAAATAGCTGTAGCATTATGCCCAAAGGAAAGTGTTCTTTAAAAGATGTTTATTTTCTAAATCTTTCATCAATTTTATTTTTTTGTATATATTTCTTCTGTACTAAACTAAATATTGTCTGGTATAGTGGAAAAAAGCATCAGACAAGAATTCAAGAATTCAATTGAATACTAATCATAATTCTCTTTACCAACTAGTTTAGTGAATCTGGACAACCCATTTAGTCCCTCTGATATATTTTCATCCCAAAAAAGTATTTGCATATGAATAATAGAATTCAATTTCATGTATGTGAAAATGCTTTTTTATTTTTTTATATTTACTTATTTTTAGTTTTCAACATTCACTTCCATAAGCTTTTGAGTTTTTTTTTTGGCTAGGCAATGAGGTTAAGTGACTTGCCCAAGGTCACACAGCTAATAAGTGTTATGTGTCTGAGGCTGGATTTGAACTCAGGTCCTCCTGAATCCAGGGCCGGTGCTCTATCCACTGCGCCACCTAGCTGCCTCTAGCTTTTGAGTTTTCAATTTTCTCCCCCTCTTTCCCTCTCCCCTCCCCAAGATGGCGTGCAGTCTGATATACATTCATATTAAATCTAGATCTACATTCATATTAAACATATTTTCACATTAGTCATATTGTAAAGAAGTATTAGAACCAATGGGAGGAACCACAAAAAAGAAGAAACAAAACAAAACAACAAAGAAAAAAAAGAGCAAATAGTTTGCTTCAATCTGCATTCAGACTCCATAGTTATTTCTCTGGATATGGATAGCATTTTCCATCATGAGACTTTTGGAGTTGTCTTAGATCCTTTCATTACCAAGAAGAGCCAAGTCTATAAAAGTTACTCATACCCACCATTGTGTTACTTTTGTTTTAGGGGTTTTGAGAGGGCAGGATGGAGGAATGAGAGAATTAAATGGAAAGTAGATAGCCTTCAAGGTCATTTGGTCTTTTACTTGTGCAAATTCAGCAATTACAAACAATAATGTATATCATGGGCAAGGCAACAAATCATTTATAAAACTTAACAGGTAATTTCTTAATCATGGTACACTTTTGTAGTGACCGTTCTGAGTTTACAAGTAGTATTTATGTTTCTCTTCTTTCTCATATTATTTTACTCTTTCTTTTTTAGGTAGTCAAGCCACACACTCCCCTAATAAGGTTCCCTGACAGAAAAGGCTACCCCAAACTGAATGGTAAGTATCATCTTCCCTCAAATTAACACACACACTTGTATCATAGATTGCTTATCTTCATCATAAACCAGGTGGCCTTTTTTTTTTTTTAAAGCTAATCATGGTATCTTAGAGGGTATTAGTGGAATAGAGTGAATTCAATTCAACAAGTATTTATTAATCAGCTACTCTATGCCCAGGAAATTCAGGACCAATTTTTCTATTATTTATCTTTTTCTTCTAATTTTTAATTATTCAATGTTAAAACTGATGATAGCCGTATAAAGCACTTCTTAAGTGTGGAAATAGCTCGGAGGTGGCATGGAGGCAGTGATGATATAGTAGTAGAATGCTTCTTCCTCTTCATTGATAATGAGTTTTTATGTCAGAAATACGGGGGAAAGGGAGAAGGAACCCAAAATATAATTTATTTCTAGCTAAGGTTTTTTTTCTTTTCTTATGAATCCAGTATTTCTTTCCCATTTTTCCTTTCCTCTTCTCTCCTATTTCTTCTTCCATTGGACCTGTAGAAGATTCCAGATGCTTCCCCTAACCTTACCCCTGCCAAGGAATGTAGGGCATGATGGCCTCCCTTGGCAGTAACTGTATGAGATGAAAGAAGGCCCTAAAGGTTTCTCCATTCCTCTTCACCTTTCTTCTTCATACTACTTTCTCTACTATCTCCTTTATTTCCAGTTAGATGCCCTTGATACCTTCATTTAAGCTACTACTTTTAACATATTTGCTAAGGATGTTTGATAGGTGATATGGGGTTATTTGGGACTAATATAGTGTAACAAATTATGCACAAGAGTTGATCTCTAATAACTATGTTATTTCTTGCAAATAATTTTACAAGAAAGTAATTAATTAATGTATCTGTTAACTATGTTGACAAAGAATATATGATTTCTTCAACTGAGAGAACTCCCCTCTAAACAGTGTAGTCAGTAAATCCAAGGGAGTTCCCTGCTTGAGGCAGTAGAGATTAGATGGCTTTCCAAGGGTTACAGTAGCTAGCTAGCAGTCAATCAGCAAGCACTTACTTAGGCACACCTTGTGCCTACTATGTACCTGGGCACTGAGGATACAAAAACAAAACAGAAGTGAAACAGTTCCTGTTCTCAAGTCTCTTACGTCCTGTCCAGGGAAATGACATGTGCACATATAAGTAAATACAAAATACATACAAGTCAAATACAAGGGAATTTTATATACAAGAAAGAGCAAGTTTGTCTGGAAAAGTGTGTAGAAAGATAGTGATGCATGGTAAGCCTGGGAAGGGCTTTAAGTGCCAAACAGAGGACTTTGTGTTCTATCTGAGACACAGGAGAGGGACCCTTTGAGCAGGAGGCTGACATACTCAAAATATACTTTAGGAATATCACTTGGCAGCTACATAGAGGATGAACTAAAAAGGGGAGAGACTTGAGGCAGCAAGACCAATTAAGGAAGTTTTAGCAATAGTCAAGTCAAAAAGCATTTATTAAGCACCTACTATGGGCCATGCACTATGCTAAGTGCTGAGGATTCAAAGAAAGACAGAAGACAATGTGAGAGATAAGGAGAGGCTGAACTAGGATAGTGGCTATGTGAATGGAGAGATATAGAGATAGATTTGAGACATGCTGTAAATGTAGAGATGACAAGACCTGCATGGGAGAGATGAGAGAGGGTGAAAAAATTGAGTAAGTCTGAGGTTAGGAACCTAAATGACTAGAACAGTGGTAATGCTGTCAACAGAAACAGGGAAATTATTAGGAAGGATGCATTTGGGAGAAAATATATTGAGTTGTTTTGAACGTAGTGAGTTTCAACTATGTGGGCTATCCAATGGGAAATGCCCAATAGGAAACTGATGATCTATGATGCTGGATGTAATAATAATAATAATAATAATAATAACAGCTAATATTTATATAGCACTAACTGTGTGCCAGATACTGTGCTAAGTGCCTTGTAATTATTATCTCATTTGATCTCATAGCAACCCTGGGAAGCAAGTGCTATTATTGTCCCTATTTTACAGATGAGGAAAGGGAGGCATTTAAAACAGAGGTGATATAACTTGCCCAGGGTCACATAGCTAGTAAACGTCTGAGATTGGATTTAAACTCTTAAAGTCTTCCTGACTGCAGGCCCAGGGCTCTAAGATTTTGGAATCGTCTGAATAGAAATGATTATTGATCCCATGAGAACAGCCTAAGCCACTTAGAGAGATAGGGGCCCAGGACAAAGCCTTGGGGTATACCCACAATTTGGAAGCAGCAAGAATGATTCAGTAAATGAGACTGAGAAGAAGCTGTAATACTCAAAGAAGGAAAACCAAGAGAATGGTGTCAAGAAAACCCAAGGGAGAGAATATTTTCCAGAGAAGAGTGTAATTAATTGTGTCCAATGATGCACAGAAGTCACAAAGGATGAGATCAACTTTTTGTGTATAATGTGTTACTAATTAGTCACAAATAAACCAACATTGCTTATCAAGCATCCTTTTCAAATATGTTGAAATGTTGCTTAAATGAAAGTATCAAGTGCATCTTATTGAATATAAAGAAGACAGTGAAGAAAGCAAGAGAAAGAGAAAAAACTACTGGGTCTGGCAATTTCGTGTCCGAAGCATGATTTGAGCTGACATCTTTCCTGACTCCAAGCCCAGTACTCTAGTTGCTATACCTTGCTGCTTCTATCTAATAAATACCACCACCTTATTTTAGTTTAAAAACATAACTGTGGTGAAATAACCCTGCCCAGTTACTGGGGAGAGGATGATGTGCAGTTCTTGTTGAGCAAAACAATGGAAGAAAGCCCTTCAGCCTTCCCACTTCCTGATTCCATTCCCTTCTTCCTTAAGGGTCCTAAGTGGTAGGAACCCAGAAAAGCCAGAGAAGGCAGCGATGCTGAAACAGCGAAGCCCACCAGCAAGCAAGGCTATCATTGAAAAAGTGAAGAGAGATTCCTTGAGGCAGTGGTGGGGGGGAGGGGAGGTAGGGGGCGAAGATGGTGAGGGTAACGCAGCTCTCCACACTCCAAGTTGGGGGATGGGGTGGGAGGGTGCAACGCAGCACAAGAATAGTTTATTAAGTTTTTGAAAATTGTGTTATTTTAGTTATGTTATTTCTGTGCAACATTAGTACCTATAACTGCATTGTAGCTTCAAGAATGGATTGGTTTGTATAGTATGGTAAATAAGTATTATTAAAGTCCCTAGACAATTTCTTTGATTTTAAAATGTTTAATTTCAGTACCAGGATCTTTAAAATCATCCGTGCTTCCATCTCACTCTTCTGCAATATCACAGCATTCTGTGGGTGATAAATCATCAGGTTTGCCAATGAATCATGGTCCACCAGATACTGCTGAAATAGTAAAAACATTACCTCAGAAATACAGGAGGAAACTCATGTCTCCAGAAGAAATCGACTTTATTCAAGTATGTTGTTTCCTTTTGTTACCTCATAAAAGTATGGTAGCATCTTTTGAAACATTATATAACCTTTTCTTTTATTTTTTCTCTTGCAGCGTGGAGGTCCGGAGTAATCACTGACAAGCCTGTTATTTATGATTGTCAGACAAAGAGGGGCTATCTTCACAATAAAGGCCTTCCAAAATGACTATGTTTAAATTGTATATGAAACCAATTTAATATAAGATTCTGTATAAAATAAAGGGTAGAAAATTTAGATAGACATTTACATATCCTAATTTGTTTCTAAGTAAATTTGTCTATAAGCTAACCTGAGGTTTGAGTTATTGTTTCTTAAAGTGTAGGATTTTTTTGTAATTTAGGTAGCATATTAACTTACTTTTGATTTTCAGTTATTTCTAATATTTAACTGTTAAAAGCTCAGGTTTAATTTCTAGTAACCTATCAGATTTCCCATAATTTTTCATTGTTTTTTTCTTTAGTAATGGAAAGTACTGGTCAGGTAGAATCGTTGTTTTAGGAGAGATACCAAAGCTTTTGAGATTAGATGAGAATCAGTGTTATCCTATTCTGAAGGATAAAATTCAGATAGGACTGATCACTGTGTTACTAAGAGTAGGATAATAATGAAAAATATATTTTATTATAGTTATCAAACTTGTGTTTGTCAAAAACCATAAAATGACAAACAAAAAATGAAATGGAAGTAGGGGGGATGTGTTTTAGAAGGTATTCTGTTTATGTCTTAAGAGAAGAAAAAGTTCCTGCCCTTTGAGTTTGTTATGTTTTGATCGTGTATTGTGAGAACAAATCGAATTAAATATTTATTTTCCCACTTGTCCCTGTCACATATTGGTTAGTGTCTTAAAGCATTGACATAACATTTCTACTTTAACAAAGTTTTATAATTGGCCATAATAAGGATTTTTTCCGCTAAGGTCAGATTATGACAAATATCTCATTGTTGGTGATCTAGGCCCATAAAACTAAATAAATTCCATTCTACTATTCCAACTTTGGTAAATCAGAATGGTAAAACTTTTGTATTGGTAAACATTTTGAATTATTGGTTCCCATGTAATTTGTGAGCAATGAGTAGTGTATTACTGCTGAGAACAATTTGGTTTTGGGCAGCGAGGTGGCACAGTGGATAGAGTGCTAGTCCTGGAGTCAGGAAGACTCATCCTCCTGAGTTCAAATCTGACCTCAGACACTTATTAGCTTTGTGACCCTGGGCAAATAAATCACTTAACCCTGTTTGCCTCAGTTTCCTCGTTTGTACAATGAGCTGGAGAAGGGAATGACAAAACACTCCAGTATCTTTGCTAAGAACACCCCAAATGGGGTCATGAAGAGTCAGATACAACTGAAAATGACTGAACAAATTTGTGGTTTACCTGACAACTGAGAAAACAGTTCACTACTCTCTTTTCTATATATTGTATGTTACACTATGGGAAACTGACTTTCAGAGTAGGCTTCTATCTTTTCATCATCTATTTTTATGTAAAATATATGGTCCAGGAGACAGGAAAAGGGTAAAGAATCGTCTCTCTTTTATTGTTCTGTACTGGATTGGGTTGGAATAAAGCTATGGAACAGCAGTAGAAACTACACAGGCAGTGTCCAACTTATAAACTAGATCCCTTAAGTACAGATGGCTGCCCTGTGTTCATTTTGCAAAACAACAACAAAAACTCGATCCTTTTAGAGAATTTGGGTGTTCATAAAGTGAAGTTGTGAAAAGCAGGAATAATTTAGGGAAACTGAACATAGGGACAGGCTCTAAGGAGGGCTTGCCTGCCTATATGTTAAGGGAAATTCAATCATTTCACTGCCTGAAATTCATTTTGGTTAGCAGACATCCTCTTTTCAAAAAAGTCAGTGTCTCTGTGAGGGTTGAGTCATTCACATAACACGAATCAACCAGCATGCTTGCTTTCTAATACCTAGCACTAACAAAATGGGTGTTCTGAAAAGTGGTAGATAACCTAGAGCCTGAGGTGCTTTGGGGATGGTGCCATGAAGGCCTTGGAGCTGCAGTATCAGTGTGGTGAGTGCCTAGGGAGAGGAGTACAAAAATAGAGATGCTAAGATGCCATTTCAAGCTTTGTTTGGAATTTTTTCCTAGTGGGAGGACGCTCCCTCTTGTTTCACATTCCTTCGGGCTCTCATGATCTTTGAATGCCTGTTACCCTTGTGCACCAGTGAAGTCAGCCTTTGGGGTGCTGTGTGTTCAGGCAAATCGCAGCCTCCTGCTATGTCTCTTTATCTGTAAAATAGGTGGAAGGTATCTGTTATGCCTGCCTCATGAGAAGTAACAGGATGGTATGGGGCAGACAACAGCCACCATCACCACCACCCCGGATTTGGAGTTAGGACAATGAAGCTCAAGTCCCTGCTCCAACACTTAACAGATGTATGACTATGGGGCTAATCAATTAGTTCCTCAGAACTTGAGTTTTCTTCATCTGTAAAAGGGAATGATCACACTTGTACTTCTTATCTTACAAAGGTGTGGGGAAAGGGCTCTGTAAATCTTAAAGCACTGGATAAATGTGCGGTATAGGGTTGTTGTCAGTACTAAGTGAGATGATGTTTGTAAGTGCTTTGAAAACCATAAGGCACTATATAAATGTTAAGTTGATTTTATGATTACTGTCCAGTATTCCAGTAGGTAGATCTGACCTCATTAACTTGGTTTTTTTTTTCTAGCAATGCAAATTGTAACTCATACATGGCTGCTTACCTTATGCAACTCCTGTCTTATCTCCCCATAAATCTAACATAGAGGAGTCACTCAATATTCTAGGGACCTTCCTCTAGATCTCTTGATTACAAGGATACCAAAGGGAACACTTGGGTTGTCCATCAGTTCTCTCTCCTTTCTACCAACTTATGTGACTAGCCCATGTCTTTTTCAAATGGGCACATATTTCTCTGATGCTCTCCTTTATGCTGTTTCTCCTGTGTCATTCTTGTTCATAATGTGCTGCAGTCTGTTTATGCCCACCCACCCTGTTATCTCTATTGCCCCCTGCCTGATCTCCAGTTCCAGGTCTTCAGAGATTGTAGCATTTTATGAGTCAAGCCACATAATGCCACTGGAAGAATATTGGTTTTAAAAAGATGAGCCTTTTGTTTTAGGGAGAATACTGAATTTGTTAAGAGCACTGCACATTCTCCCAAAGGCAGTCTAATTCTCCCATTCATTTCTGGATTTAGCACAGTATGTAGCATCACTGGAGTAGAGTTGTGGTTCACTTCTCAAATACTGACACACCTTTCCTATAATCCTTCCCCTCTAAGTACTTAGTAAATGTTTAATAGATTGCTTTCAGTTGGGGAGGGTGGATGACCTATACTTACAATAACTCTTCCCTCCACTTCCTTCCCCGTCCCCATCAGAATACCTTGCTTGACAGTATTATAAAATCACAGATTTAGAGTTGGACACTTGTTCCAACCCTTTTTACACATGAGAAAACTGAAGCTTAGAGGGTAAGCCTTCTTGTAACCAATTCCTACATCTAGTATGTGGCAAAACTCAGGTTTGACGCCAGATTTCCTGACTCATTTCTCTTTCTAGAACACAAATCTGCCTTAACTCCATTTCATGAAGGAAATAGGACTTGGAGTGGTTGAGTGCAGTACTGGCCTATTGCATAGTTATCATGTTAGAGACAGAATTTGAACCCAGGTCTTCTGGTTCCTAATCTCACACTTCCCCCACCCTATCATGCAGTCTTCTAAGACTTACACAAAGCTTAAAAACTTTTCTTGAAATCCCAGATGTTAAGGGCACTGTACTCATGCCTCCCCCTCCAACTATGCTGCCCTAACCCTGCTTAGAACAGGTGAGGACCACACAAGTTATCTGGGACTTTCCAAATTACGTTTCATCTTCAGAAATGATTGGGACACATTACTCAAGTCAAGCACAAGCACAAAACACCCCAGTGTTGCCATTGGTTATATATAGTGTTCTCTACCAAAGCAAGCACCCCTAGGTTTTACCAACATGAACTCTTCTCCACTTCTTGCATTTCTTTTATCCGATAACAATGGGGGTGGAAGGAATGCTTTTACCAAGAGTGGAGCTTAGTAGATGGAATGCTGGACTTGGAATCAGGAAGACTAGAGTTCAAATCCTGTCTCATACTATTGGTATGACCCTGAGCAAATCACTTTTCTGAGCTTCAGTTTCCTCATCTATAAAATGGATGTAATACTACCTATAGTACCTTACATTGTGAATTTCAAATGTGTGTAAAGACCTTTGTGAACCTTAATGCAATACTCCAGCATCCCCATTCCCAAAAATTTGCTTCCCTCTTCTTTACCTTCATTTAGGGGAACAGTCTTTAATTTTCATCTCATCCTAACTACATCATTCTCCTCCATACCTTATGCTCCTACCATCTCTCCTGCCCATTTTAATGGTTCCTGCCCCTTCATTTTGCTTCCTCATTACTTCAGCTTTCTCCTTCCCTCCGGTCCCCCACTACTTCCCATTACCCGCCCCACCCTCTCAGTTCTAAGACAGCTTCACCATCCTCAGGTCCTAACATACTGAAAGAAGCTATGAAGATAAAGAGTAAACATGAAATCACAGGATGGTGGATTTGCCGTTGTAAGGAACTGCAAAGGTCGGTCAACTAGCAAAACCCTAAAACCCTCTCTTTTCACACATGAGGAACTGAAGGCCAAGGAAGTTAAGTCACTTGCCCAAGGTCCCATAGGTACAGCCAGCATTCAGACTTATGTTTTACTTCAAGTTTAGGACTCTTTTTACCATTCGGCGAAAAATTGTGTTATCTCCCCCCC